TGTTTTCTCTTTAATTTTGATTTTTTAATACCTGTCGGTCGTTGTGAAGATGAGCCACCACTAGCATTTTCATCACTTAAATTGATAGAAAAATTAGATAGTCCTGGATTGAATGAAATAGGGGATTCTGGTTGCACATCTGCTTGCGTTTGAGACGAAATTGAGTTACGCCTCTGTGATGTGCACTCGAACAATGCATAATATTTCATAATCGACCACACATGATCATACTTGTATGATTGTTTTTTATTATTTTTTGGATTATGCATATATGGTATATTCGCGCGCTTCATCTATAATATAACAATAAAACACATTATAAGCTATTATTATTGTTAAATGCAAAATTAAATTATATGAAGAAATATTTTCTTACCACATCATCTTCAGAAGCTCCACTAATGTTTGCGTTTTCAATTTGTTGCACGCAGGATTTGAACAATTTAATACCGGCATTGATATTACCCATGCGACATTGGATCGATTTTTTTGGACGATCTGGCCACATTAGATTTGGCTTTGTAGAATTATATTCATTTGTTACACGAAGCCAAAACTTATCTCTACTTTGATATATACCCACCTCTGGATCTTGAGAAATTTCCATGTAGGACCGACAAAGGTGTTGATCTTCACTTATAGTATAGTTGGTTCCCATATGAGAGATGACTCTAAAAACTCGGATGAAAAATAAATAAATAATAATTGGTTGTATGGTGTAGTAATTGTAATATTTGTGCAATGTAGTGTAGTGTATTTATAGAGTGGAAAAAATATTGTTTGGTTTTTTAGATAAGAATCCTACGGTTCAGAATCATTATAACAAAATATGGTTTTACGGTTCAGATTTAAAGTTCAAGATTTTCTGCCACATCATAGAAAAGGTTCATCCACCATACATTATGCTAAAATGTTTCCCCCGAGGCAAGTTGTCGCAATAATTCATTCATTCATTTTTGTTTTGTAGTGATTTTTTAAATATTATTTTAAAGTGATAATAAGATAAGAATTGAACGAAAAAAATTTTATGGAAATCTCATCCTACGGTCAAAAAATTTGATACTTGATTTCTTTTTCACTATTTATACCATGTATGCTTAACAATATTTTCATACTTAAACTTTTCCCTTTTTTGAGAAAATATGAATTCCGATCATATTGGTTGTTCTTTTGCATTTTCTTCTTCAAGTTCATCTGATGATGAGCTTGAGCAGTTATTGAATAGCTACGGTGTAGAACAAGAATTGATATCTCATCAAATTTATAATAATAATATTCTAGTACAAGAATTTCTCAGTACTCAACAACTTAGCCAGAGTCATGGAGGTTCAGTTCTTGGTCGTAAAACACTTTTTCGCGATCGAGAAGCGGCCGCAGATCGTCTTTTTAATGATAATTTTTCTGAAAATCCAAAATTTAATGAATCCATGTTTCGTAGGCGTTTTCGAATGTCTAGAAATTTATTTTTCCGTATTGCAAATGCAGTAAAAAATCATGATAATTATTTTTTGCAACAAAAAGATGCAGTAGAAAAACTCGGGTTGTCTACATTTAAAAAGTTAATTGCTGCTCTTCGAATATTGGCATATGAAGTACCAGCAGACGCGACGGACGAGTACATAAACATTGGGGAGTGCACTGCAGTTGAGTGCATGAAGAAATTTTGCCGTGCTATTGTGGAGGTATTTGGCGAGCAATATTTAAGATCTCCTAACGCTAATGATGTTGCAAGACTCCTTTATATTGGTAAGAAACATGGATTTCCCGAAATGTTAGGTAGTCTGGATTGTATGCATTAGCGTTGGAAAAATTGTCCAACAGCTTGGGCAGGTGCATATACAGGACGCAGTAAGTGTCCAACTATTATCTTAGAAATTATAGCCGATTATGATCTTTGGATATGGCATGCATACTTTGGTATGCCTGGATCAAACAATGACATTAATGTGCTAGAGAGGTCGCATGTGTTTTTTGATCTTACTCAAGGAATTGCCCCTCCAGCACATTATGTCATCTAAGGGAAAGAGTATAATATGGGATATTATTTAGCTGATAATATATATCCAAAATGGTCAACTCTTGTCCAAACTATTCGTGATCCACGTAGCCCAAAGAAAAAATACTTTGCAATAAAACAAGAAGCGTGCAGAAAGGATGTAGAACGTGCATTTGGTGTACTCCAGAGTCGATTTGCAATTGTGGCTAATCCTG